AGCTCATTTAGCTTCAAAACCATCCCAAAGCATTCTAGCTTTCTTCCAATACTAGAGAGATTTTAGAGAGTTTCTTAAGAGTTGTTTTCTCCTTTTTATCTAGAGAGAATTATCATTGTTTTCTCCTTGGTAGATCGAGAGAGGTTGTAATTCCTATTTTCTCATAGTGAAATTCTTCTACCGTTGCCCGTGGTTTTTACCCTAAATATTTTAGGGGTTTTCCACGTAAATTTTGTGTCTCTTTTATCTTCATTTTTATTTTCTCAAATTATCAGTTGCGATTTTGCTCTATCCGATAGCCGTCTTCCGCAACAATTGGTATCCGAGCTAGATTAGAGTGTGTAATATTTGCTTATTGTCTTTGTGGTTGCCACCAAAAGGTGGATCCTCCAACATAAGAAAGTAAGAAGGTATTACCCATTCTTTGAAGCTTCCAGAGAACTATTCACGATAGTGAAATAGTGGGAGCTATCCGTAATAGAACCTATGACAACGAAATTTGATATTGAAAAATTCAATGGGAGAAATTTCTCACTGTGGAAATTGAAGATGAAGGCTATCATGAGGAAAGACGGGTGTCTAGCGGCTATCAATGAAAGGCCGGTGGATTTCGCAGATGACAACAAATGGAACGAGATGGACGGAAATGCTATGGTAAACTTTCATCTAGCATTAGCAGATGAAGTATTGTCAAGCATCGAGGAGAAGAAGACAGCTAAGGAGATATGGGATCATCTCACCAAATTGTACGAGGCCACATCGTTGCACAATAAAATTTTCCTTAAAAGGAAATTGTACACTCTCCATATGCCATAATCTACTTCAGTGACAGAGCACTTAAATACACTGAACACCTTATTTTCTCAGCTTACATCCTTAAGCTGTAAAATAGGAGAACAAGAACGTGCTGAACTTCTACTTCAAAGTCTACCGGATTCGTATGATCAACTCATCATCAACTTGACAAATAGTAATGTCACCAGTCTAGTCTTCGATGACGTTACAGCTGCTGTTCTACAAGAAGAAAATCGGCGCAAGAACAAGGAAGACAGACAAGTAAATCTGCAACAAGCAGAAGCGTTGACAATGACGAGAGGGAGATCAACAGAACGTGGCCAAAGCAGCAGTCACAAACATGGTAGATCGAAGTCCAGAAGCAAAAAGAATTTAAAGTGCTACCACTGTGGAAAGAAGGGTCACTTGAAGAAGGATTGTTGGAGTCTCAATAAAAACTCCAATCCACAAGGCAATATCGTAAACACTTCAGATGATGGAGATGCTCTATGCTGTGAAGCGTCAACTACTGTGGAAGGTAGAAAAAGATTTGCAGATATATGGCTCATTGATTCAGGAGCAACATATCACATGACCTCAAGAAGAGAATGGTTCCATCATTATGAACCTGTCTCAGGAGGATCTGTCTATAGTTGCAATGATCATGCCTTAGATATCGTTGGCGTGGGAACCATCAAATTGAAGATGTATGATAGAACAATTAAAGTTGTTCGAGATGTGTGGCACGTGAAAGGCCTGAAGAAAAATTTATTATCCTACGGATTGTTGGATAATAATGCAAGCAAGATTGAAACACAAAAAGGAATCATGAAGGTGTTCCGTGGAGCGCTTGTGGTGCTGAAAGGCGAAAAGATAGCTGCAAACTTGTACATGCTGAAGGGAGAGACTTTTCTAGAAGCAGAAGCCTCTGTTGCCTCATGTAGTTCAGATTCTGTAATGCTATGGCATAAGAAACTTGGACACATGTCAGAACAAGGAATGAAAGTCCTTGTGGAGCAAAAGCTACTTCCCAGCTTAACAAAGGTATCACTTCCTTTGTGTGAGCATTGTATAACAAGTAAGCAACACCGGTTGAAATTCATCACATCAAATTCTAGAGGCAAAAGTGTTCTAGAATTGGTTCACTCTGACGTATGGAAAGCACCGGTCACATCCCTAGGCGGAGCAAAATACTTTGTCTCATTTATTGATGACTACTCCAGGAGATGTTGGGTGTACCCTATTAAGAAGAAGTCAGATGTGTTAGTAACTTTCAAAAACTTCAAAGTGCGGGTGGAACTTGATTCTGGAAATAAGATCAAGTGTTTCAGAACAAATAATGGAGGAGAATACACAAGCGAAGAATTTGATGACTTTTGCAAGAGAGAAGGCATCAAAAGACAGTTCACAGTGGCGAACACTCCTCAACAAAATGGAGTGGCAGAGTGGATGAACAAAACGTTGTTAGAAAGAACACGAGCAATGTTGAGGGATGCAGGCCTAGAAAAATCATTCTGGGCAGAAGCAGTCAATACTGCCTGTTATTTGGTGAATCGAGCTCTATCAACTGCAATAGAGCTGAAGACACCAATGGAGATGTGGACTGGTAAACCAGCTGATTATTCAAACCTCCATGTATTTGGAAGTATTGTGTATGTGATGTACAACTCCCAAGAAATTTTGAAGTTGGATCCAAAATCCAGGAAATGCAAATTCTTGGGGTATGCTGATGGAGTAAAGGGGTATCGCTTGTGGGATCCCACTACCCGCAAAGTGATCATTAGCAGGGATGTTATCTTTGTAGAAGATAAGCTACAAAGAAAAGAAGACGATGCTAGCACTGAAAAGTTAGAGACTACTCATATACATGTGGAAAAGGAGGTTGAACAAGGAGATTCTTCTGAAGCAGAACCAGCTCATGATGAACAAGAACTAGAGAGTTCTGAAGCTCCAATAACTCGTCAATCAGATCGTGTGAGAAGACGTCCCAATTGGCACTCAGATTATGTTATAGAAGGTAATATTGCATACTGCCTTTTAACAGAGGACGGTGAGCCATCAACATACCAGGAGGAAATAAACAACTCAGATGCTTCATTATGGATGATGGCGATGCAAGAAGAAATCGAAGCCCTTCATAAAAATAATACATGGGACCTTGTGCCACTACCACAAGGAAGGAAGCCAATTGGTAATAAATGGGTCTTCAAAATCAAGCGAAATGTTGACGATCAAGTGGAGAGGTACCGTGCAAGACTGGTGGTCAAAGGATATGCTCAAAAAGAAGGTATTGATTTCAATGAAATTTTTTCTCCTGTGGTTCGACTAACAACATTTCGAGTACTCTTGGCAATGTGTGCTACATTGAACTTACATCTAGAGCAACTAGATGTTAAAACATCTTTTCTTCATGGAAATCTTGAATAAGAGATTTATATGCTCCAGCCTGAAGGTTTTGAAGAAAAATAAAAGAAGAACTTGGTTTGCAGGTTGAACAAATCTCTGTACGGTCTAAAGCAGGTGCCGAGGTGTTGGTATAAGAGATTTGATTCCTTCATTATGTGCCTTGGATACAATAGACTTAATGCAGACCCTTGTGCTTATTTCAAGAGGTCTGGTGATAACAATTTTGTTATATTGCTGTTGTATGTGGATGACATGTTGGTTGCAGGACCCAACAAAGATCATATTGAAGAATTAAATGCACAACTGGCTAGGGAATTTGAAATGAAGGACTTGGGATCAGCAAACAAGATTCTAGGGATGCAAATTCACCGAGACAGAAGTAATAGGAAGATTTGGCTTTCACAAAAGAATTACTTGAAGAAGATCTTGTCACGATTCAGCATGCAAGATTGTAAGCAAATTTCTACCCCTCTTCCTATTAACTTCAAATTATCCTCCAGTATGAGTCCTAGCAGTGAACAAGAGAGGATGAAGATGTCTCGAGTACCGTATGCATCAGCAGTGGGAAGTTTAATGTTCGCTATGATATGCACAAGACCAGACATTGCACAAGCAGTGGGAGTGGTTAGTCGGTACATGGCGAATCCAGGCAAAGAGCATTGGAATACAGTAAAGAGGATCCTGAGATACATCAAAGGGACCTCAAATGTTACATTATGTTACGGAGGATCAAACTTACAAATCAATGGGTATGTAGATTCTGACTATGCAGGGGATTTGGATAAAAGCAAATCTACAACAGGATATGTGTTCAAAATTGCTGGTGGAGCTGTAAGCTGGGTTTCAAAATTGCAGTCAGTTGTGGCTACATCACAACAGAAGCAGAATATGTAGCAGCTACACAAGCCAGTAAAGAAGCAATTTGGTTGAAGATGTTATTGGAGGAGCTTGGGCACAATCAAGAGTATGTCTCTCTGTTTTGTGACAGTCAAAGCGCCTTGCATCTAGCAAGGAATCCAACATTTCATTCAAGGACAAAGCACATACGAGATCAGTACCATTTCATTCGTGAAAAGGTGGAAGAAGGGACAGTAGATATGCAGAAGATCCATACCAAAGACAACATAGCAGATTTCATGACGAAGGTGATCAACACTGATAAATTTACTTGGTGTCGATCCTCTTGTGGCCTGTCAGAGACGTAAGCAACATGATGGTACAAGGTAGAAAGAATGGTGTGAAGATATGATTGTTCCAATCAAATCTTCAAGTGGGAGATTGTTGAAATGTCAAAGCTTGGAGAAAATTGGTTCAAGTTAGGCACCTAATATTGCAATGTCAAAATTAGGTGCAACAATGTCAAAATTAGGTGCAACAATGTTTGAAAATTAAATGGGTAAATTACAAACTTTAGTCACTAAACTTTATGGTATTTATAAGATTAGTCCTTAAGTTTCAACTATAAATACCCTAGCTCATTTACCTTCAAAACCATCCCAAAGCATTCTAGCTTTCTTCCAATACTAGAGAGATTTTAGAGAGTTTCTTGAGAGTTGTTTTCTCCTTTTTATCTAGAGAGAATTATCATTGTTTTCTCCTTGGTAGATCGAGAGAGGTTGTAATTCCTATTTTCTCATAGTGAAATTCTTCTACCGTTGCCCGTGGTTTTTACCCTAAATATTTTAGGGGTTTTCCACGTAAATTTTGTGTCTCTTTTATCTTCATTTTTATTTTCTCAAATTATCAGTTGCGATTTTGCTCTATCCGATAGCCGTCTTCCGCAACAAGAACATGGAAGACTAATTTTTCTCTGACGTTAGGTATGAAAGCCACTATGGCGGTCAAGTATCCGTTCGTTGCAAAGGGAGAGATCAAAATATCGAGTGAACTTCAATCAGGAGTCGAGTGGGAAGAGACCTCAACATTCACCGTTGTTAAAGGAGCTGTACACACAATTGAAGTGCCGCCGATGACTAAGACGACGGTTAGTCTGGTGGCAACACAAGGTTGGTGCGATGTTCCCTTCACATTTATGCAAAGGGACACTCTTTACAATGGGAGCACCGTCATAAGTGAAGTTCAAGGTGGCACTTTCACCGGTTCTAATTACTCCAGGACCGTCTATGAATCCAACGAAGAGAAGTTGGAGTGAGTTAAACTATACACACAACTTCAGCAGAAGGAATGTGTATCTGGTGTGTCTGCGTGTAGAATAAAATCATGTTTCATTCATGGAAGCATGCGTTTACGTTTTCTTTTAGTTAATTGCAGTTAATAAATGTCGCCTGCATAGCCTAGTAGCGGCTTTGTATCTCTATGTTCTGTAATGTGAGAATTTATAAATCATGAATGTTATCTTTGTGTGTATGGAGATAAATGTATTTGTACTTTGATTATAATGTATGAGCTGGTGTGGTTATAAGTTTTATCTATCTATTTTACAAAAATTGAGAATTTAAACTATATATTTTAAGCGTAAACTACACCAATGGTAAGTTGAGTAAGTTTTCGTTTTTCTTATTGAAGTTTCAAAAATAGCAAATTGGTTACTAATGTTATCGATTGTAACAAAATGATCACTTAAGTTATCGATTTGTAACAAAATGATCACTCTACTATCATCCCATTTAATTGATGATGTGGCAATGTTAACAAAAAGGTTCATATTTCATTTTATCCCTAAACTATTGCTAAAACATTAATTTTTCCTTGAACAATGAATTTATATCAAATTTATCCTAAAAGCTTTCTATTTTTCATTTTTTTCTCTAAATACCCTACCACCTCCATTATATTCGAATCACATTCCTTACAAAATGAAAAACACACTTAAACAACTAGGACTAGTTTCCTTGGTATTTGTTTCAACCACACTTAAACAAAATCTCTATATTTAGACAATAAGATTTTTTTATTAATTTGTGGTAAGTACAAGGCAGTATATGTTCAAAGATAAACTCTCAATCGACATTGAATGCTCATACCCTTGACATCTATGGTGTTGGAACCCGTGTCTTCGGGAATAACAATTCTTTTACCACGGAGGTCATTTGGTTCGTACCAATAAGTTGCCTTCTCTTTTGTTGCAAAATAGGAGTGAATCATTTTGTTATTTTTTTTATGTTTCATTATATATTTTAGAAAACTAGTAACCCACGAACCAAAAATCAAATTCTAAAGAGAGAATAGAGCATAAGTAAGTACTTTACTCCAACATAACGTTGCAAGATAGAAACAAAAACGTTGTGTTTCAAAGATTACTATTTTAATTGAAGATAGTTTTAGACTTTTAGCTTTTGTTTAAGTGTGGTTGAAACAAATACTAAGGAAAGAACTCCAATTGTTTAAGTTTGATTTTTCATTTTTTAAGAAACGTGGTTCAAATATAGTGAAAATAATGGGGTTTTTGAAAAATGGAAAATAAAAAAAATATGGGGTAAATTAGATAGACAATCATTGTTGAATGACTTATTTAATATTTTAGCAATAGTTTAGGAGTAAAATAAAATATTAAACCATTTGTTAATGTTACCTTTTTGTGCATGGCCTTGTAGCAGCTTTGTAGCTCTCATGTTCTCTAATGTGAGAATGTATAAATGAATGCTATCTCTGTGTGTATGGAGATAAATGTATTTGTACTCTGATTATAATGTATGAGTTGGTCTCATTATAATCTTTATCTTATATTTTACGAGAAATTATTTCATGGATCCTTTCCACCAGGTCATTAATGGTCTTAATCAATTAAAAATAGTCACGTCAATATTTTTCATGTCATTAAAATATATGGATTTTATTTTCCATATCAACTTATGCATTAATTCATATAAAAATTAAATTAAATTAAATTCAAAGTATTAGTTTTGATTTTTAAAATATTTTTGCAAGTCTACTTACTACTAGATAACCACGACTTAATCTGAGCTAACAAGAATTTCCAACATTATGCATCATTGATTACCTTCTCAATTTAGGTCATATGGAAACCTATGTACGTATGTATGTATAAAATCATATTCAAATAACATGTGTGAAAAATGCACCAGACGCCCAATATATGGGCTTACATTGCCTCCAGGCCCAATTACTAGAGGATAGTCTAAGCTACTCGAGGATCAACTCCAAACTGTAGCCTAGGTCTTCGTCATCAAGGGCTTTCACGCCAACATGGAGTTAGAAAAGTTCAAGGAAGGAAAACCATTCATCCTTTCTCTATCATCAACTTGGATCTCAAGAACGCAAGTCATTTTCGGGCCCAACTGTGAAGCCCACAGAGATATGCCAGAAATTGAGTTTGAACCACCCTGAGCCTGACATTTTGTAAAGTTACCCAGTGACTACATTTATAAAGCCTGATATAACTCATAGATTTGATAATTAAATTTCGCTTTATTTTATTTAGGATCAGGCCCAATAAGCCATTGTGTAACGCCCTGAATATCAGTCTAGTAGTTATGTGTCAAACCAATAATTTATTTAATGAATTATTTATAACGCAATGGTCCATGGTTTCAAATTTGAGCTTGATGGGGGTAAGAAATTAGCTTTGTAAATGATAAAAAGGGGACTTTTAATCTTAGAAAGAATATATGAGGACCTAGAGGGTAGTTATACCATTGAAGAGACACATGGCTTATTTGGAGTTATCCATTTCTATATTAGACGTGGGTTTTGTGGTGAGCCAAAAAGGATCATTTTCTTCTTCATCTTCTATTCTCCCTTCACTTTCTTTCTTATCTTTCTCTCAACTCAAGAAAAAACAAAAGAAGGGCTTCACCTTTCTTCATCTCCTTCTTCAATCCAAAATTTATAGGTAAGATTCTTAATCTAGGGTTCTTAAGCTTCATAAAAAGCTCATCATCTTCTTCAATGGTGGCCATGAACTCATTTTAGTTTTTGGGAGGGTTTAAGTTTCAAGAGCTTCCTCTCATGATTTATATTTGATTTTCATGTTGTTTAACACATAGTGTCCTTCATATTCATGGTGGAATCGGTTTATGGCTTTTGTTGGATGAAAAAATGGTGCAAGAACTCCCCTTTTAGTTAAGTCAATGAAAGGTTGATCATTGTGTAAGCTATATACATTTTTTTGTTACTAGGAGTTGAGTAACACGCCATAACTCTTACTTACTGCTCGTATGTTATTTAAATGAGTATGCTTTCTTGCATGGGGCAGGAAGAGCTTGTGGGGTTTGGGTTCTTGATTTATTGCTATGGACGTTTTGGATGTTATTATAGTGTAAAAATGATTTATAATGACCCCTTATAACTTCCATAAGCTTTAATAATCAACTTAGTCCTTATAATAAGTGTTTGGTATGGGTTTAAGGGTGTTTTATAAGTAAAACAGTATGGTTATGAGTGATAATATCAATATTGTATGAACCGTATCGATATTGTTTATATTCGGGGGGTGAAAACTATTTTTTTTAGGCTTTAGTATCGATATCGGCCCCTTGGTATCAATATAGAGGGTTGTAGTATTGATACCATAAGCTCGATATTCTCAGTCTCGAGACCGCTTATCTTCATACTAAAAAATTATCTCTATACCAGAGGACTGATCCCCATACTGAAAATTGGTCTATATACCGAAGGACTGCTATTCATACCAAAGATTGAGTATCCAAACTGAGGGCTTAATATCAATACCTAAAAGTGTTTTGTAACTTCAGAATGTCAAGTAAACTCAAGAGTGAGGATTTAATATTGATAAATATTGGGATCTAGCCCGAGTATGGAATATTACTAAAATGCCCTTATGGGGCCAAAATTACTAATTTACCCTTATGGGCCTAAATAAATGAAATAACCTATATGAGTTATGTATGCATGATAAGAGGATATCCGCCCCAAAATTCAAGAGTGAATCTAGGAAATCATGATAAGAATGACTAGAATGTCACTACGAATTAACAAAACTGAGTCGAGTTTCAGAATAATAGATAACCCAACAAGTGAATAATGCTAACACAATTCTATTTTGTATATTCCACATATAGCTCTTTGTAGCCCTTTTGATATGCATGATTGGTTTAGTTGGGTTCATGAAACATGTATAAGTAATCCATGGTAAATTCTATGTTTGATGTTCGTAAGCATGAAAAGTAACTCCTTATGACCTCTAAGATCTCAAATAAAACTCTAATAACGTCTATGAGCCTTAGTAGGGTGAATGAGTGAGTTTAAGATATATTTTCACACCAAAAGTAGGGCACTTCAGGTCGTTAGTATCGGTACTGGAAGAACAATACCAATATTGTCCTTCGTGTAGTGTAAAGATAAGAGCATTTTGTTAAGGTAGTATCGATAGTCTCATAAAAGTATCGATACTCATGGATCGATTTTGATACTCAAAGGGTGGTATCAATACCAGTGATAAGTTAAGGATTCTAGTAGACATTTTTGGTACCAATACTCGAGGGAGTATCGATACACAAGGGTCAATATTGATACAATTGGCACAATATCGATATACCATTTAATTTTTGGTATTTTGGTCCAATCGATTTAAGTTTTCAAGCTTGGATGATTTGAGAACATATAAGCTTTAAGTATTCGATACAAGTGAAAGCAATCAAGATAACTTAAATTGCACCTAGAAATCAAGAATGATAGGATGACATAAGTTTGTCCCTTTTTGTGATGATCGAGAAACGATCAGGACACTCGAGTTACTCTAGTATATGACATTTGTCTTCTATGTTATGTTATGTTATGTTATGTTATGTTATGTTATGTTATGTTATGTTATGTTATGTTATGTTATGTTATGTTATGTTATGTTATGTTATGTTATGTTATGTTATGTTATGTTATGTTATGTTATGTTATGTTATGTTATGTTATGTTATGTTATGTTATGTTATGTTATGTTATGTTATGTTATGTTATGTTATGTTATGTTATGTTATGTTATGTTATGTTATGTTATGTTATGTTATGTTATGTTATGTTATGTTATGTTATGTTATGTTATGTTATGTTATGTTATGTTATGTTATGTTATGTTATGTTATGTTATGTCATGTTATGTCATGTTATGTCATGTTATGTCATGTTATGTCATGTTATGTCATGTTATGTCATGTTATGTCATGTTATGTCATGTTATGTCATGTTATGTCATGTTATGTCATGTTATGTCATGTTATGTCATGTTATGTC